TTAAACTTTGAAAAAGATCTCCATTTCATTATTAAAATACATAGTTTCATACAGAAAAATTCATTTTGAATACAACTGAGACTAAGATGCATATGCATTTCTAATCTCTATATATCTGATTATTTCTAGTCACAGTCAGTTACTTTCTGAGCTCCTTGGCATCTGAGCATGGATATAAAGTTGTCAAGTGGATTTCCATGGTAATGTTTTTCACATCTATAAAATACTAAGGAGCAAATTTTTATGCTTTGAAGAACTATTTTTTTATCATTATTTAAAAAAATTTTTTAATGACTACATGATTAGAAGCATTTCACTACAGCTTTTAACATATTCAGTAAGACACTCCAGAGCAAGAGTACATCTCTTTAACAAGTGGGTGTAAGTTTCTAGCTTCACAGTTGTATTACTACAGTTATATATTATTGAACTCCATATAAGCCCTGTAAGACATAAAATTTGATGAATTTTTAACCTTCAAAAAAGATCTCCATTTCATTTTAGAATATATTGTTCCTTATAGAAAGACTCATTCTTTTTGCTACTAACACTGAGATGTTGGCACATGCATCTCTAATCTGTATGCATCTGATTATTACTAGTCATAATCGGTTGCATTTGAACCCTTGGCGCCTGTGTATGTCTTTATAAGGCGCCTGGCCTACAGAGAAGGTTCAATGGCTATTTGTTGAGTTCTTGAACTAGAAACAGGAAAGGCCATACTTTTACTCCACTCGTGGTTAGCCCAGATCATTGAAACACCACAAAAATGAAGTGAAGGTAGGTTTAACCCTTGTGCAAGTGATTAATTTTGCTGATCCTTGACTGCAGACACCACGATATTTTCTAGTCTATCCTACCAAAGTACGCGATTCAGTTAAAAAAGAAATCAGGCACATTTTCTTAGTTACAATAAACACATCACCAGTATTCCAAGAGAGATTCATAATAAAGAATTCCATTTACATCTTCTTGATTAAAGAACAGGAGCATGTAATTTCCTTCATCTCAGAAAATGTTGCTGAGTTCAAGTTTTCTGACTAATACTTGTGTTGTGAGCCATTTATAACCATTACAAACATCATCTACACAGATTACAGGACCATGGTCTACTCCCTAATATGCCGGTACATGGCTGAGCTTTATGTTCACTACGACTTTGTTCGTGTTCCTTCATAAATCCATGTCATGCCCATTTTCCTTGTGACTATATTGAATGATTTAATTAAATATCACATAAGCGGACAACAAATTTTTATGAAAGCTAAATGGCTTGAGGACAAAAGTCTCTGTCAGATGAGGGGTGACTTAAACTGGTGAATAAAATTGAAAGCAAATTAAAAATCTAGCATGGTTTTTCAAACACGTGTAGGGCCCTCCACACACAAACCTGAAACCCAAGGTAGTAATGGTATGCTCTATAAAGGTGACCGTGTGCTGTGATACAGATTCAGTGAGCCAACCTTCAAATCAAACAGTTCTAAAGCAAATGACCTTCAGTTCAACATGTGTTGAATAGCATTTTAAATTCAAATAGTTAAGGAACATTTATAGATTTTTTTTTACTGATGCCCCCCCCCAAAAAAAAACCCTAAAGGCTATTTCTGACTACAGGACAAGTTTTCAAATAGCACTCAGAAGACTATTTCTAAGTTAATAAGTAGCTTGTTGCAGGCGTCTAGTGCCACAGACATTCTAAAAACTAACAACAACAAAAAATCCCCTGGGATAACAGTGGACAGGTATAGAGTATAACCTAGGTAAAGTTCTTTATAAGAGCTATCATTAAACCATCACAAAAGATCAGTTGTTACCTAAATAAATAGAAAAATGGCAGAGTTGTTAGGCAACCTGTCCTTGATTGGTGATGAGCCATGTTTTGACCCTGGGCCATCCACTTCTTTTCCTTCATCTCTTGCCTGACATTATTTGTGTCTTGTAGGTGGCTAAATGAAACAAGCATGCCACAAGACAGCAATGTGCCACAAGACCACAGTGTACCCCCCAAAACCCACTGATTTTGAAGGTGTACATATACCAAAAAGACAAGAAATTATCAATGAAAATATTCATCAGGCTCATCTCTGAATAAAAGTTATGATTGGTTTTAGTTTTCATCATTGTACTATTTTTAGTCTCTAAAACATCTGCAAGAAAGGAAACACTGCCTCTGTAATCAAGAAGAAAACGTCATTAGGCACATTCTATTCTGACCACCTGCGTAGGGAATGCTTAATTTTTCAAAAGATCTTACCAATTAATGAAAATCTGGTCATTGCTTTTTATTTTGTTCAGTAACCATTAAAATATCAAAGGCTGGGGGCAGCCATTCCCTGCCTCTCTAAAAATTTATCTTCTTGGATGCACAAAACAATATCTGATACTTCTTTGCAATAGTTCGTGTCATTATAAAACCAACAAACAAAATGAAAAGCCAAACAATCATCATATACAAATATTGAACAGTTTCCTATAAGAAAAGTCTTCAATGCAAATTGAGCTATTGTTTCATTACCTTTTCTGTAAACAAGTCTGCTGACAACAACAATAGTTATTACACTATCATGCCTCCTACATGGTTCTGGAGTGAAGTCAGTAGGATCTACAGCATTAGGAATGACAGACACTATTTCAGGATTCAGTGCTGCTCTTAGTACAGTATTTTCCTTACTAGTATAAGAGACACAAATGATGTGGTTTGTATCACAAAGAGACACAGTTAGAAGCTTGTTTGTAAGCACCGAGCTGACATCAGCAAATCCAAAAAGGGAATGGTCCGTGAAGACTGTCTGGAGCCCCATTGTCTTGGCGTGAAAGAGAGCATCATGGGCCATGGCAGAAAAAGAACTGTGGGAATGGATTATCGTAATTCTCTCCCGAACAAATATGTACCTGAGCAATGGCAGACTGTGAAAGAGAGTTGTGGCCGTAGACTGGTTGTACATGACTCTGAGAGGCAAGTAATAAACTTTGAGGCCATTAGTGAGGTAGCGGATGCCTTTTCGATCTCCATAAGCATGGGTAACAATTATGACCTTGTGCCCTCTTTCAATCAGGCACTGAGAGAGCTGGTAAATGTGGCTTTCCACGCCGCCCATATTTGGGTAGAAAAAGTCAGAAACCATGCATACATTATGGGCGTGGGTACTATTGGCGGAAAAAGTTGGAGGGCCAGACCAAGAAAGTGTCCCTGAGGGAGGCTGCCCACGCCCATCTACTCCTCTACAGGCCATGATGAGATGGTTCAGACATCTGTTCTCAGAGCAACCCAGTTAAGAATTGTGTCTTCTGTCACCTGAAAGAGAAACATAGGATCTCATCTCCAAGTCATATCACACCCCGAATCCCAAAGCCTGTTAGAAAGTTTCAATGTTAAGGTAATTTTTCAGTTTTTCTCTTAGAAACAAAAACAAAGCATGTCATGACCATATTCATTTAACATCATTTACTTGCTTAGCATTTATCATGTGCCATATAACACAAATTACAGTCTGTAAGGCCTTAATTTAGCTCCCAAACTATTGCTATACATAATCTTATTTTTTATTTATTTGCTTTTTAATTATTTTATGTGTATGCATGCATTGCCCGCATGTAGGTAAGTGCACCCATGTCATGCAATGCTGGCAGAGGGCAGAAGAGGCTGTTGGATCCCCTGGAACTGGAGTTATGGACAGTTGTTAGCTGCCATGTGGGTGCTGGGATTCGAACCCGTGTCCTCTGTAAGAACAGCCAGTGTTCTTAACTGCTGAGCCATCTCCCTAGTCCGTACACATAATTTTAAATGTTTGTTAAGCCACAGTATATAATGGTTTGTGACAGTAAGAAACTAACTTTCTGATATTTAAATACATTCTCTCTCTCTCATTCTCTCTCTCTCTCTCTCTCTCTCTCCTGTACTGTTATCACTGCCTCTACTTATAAAGTCATTCTATATCCACACTAGAGACTGAGTGTTCTATGTTACCATAGTCTAGTTGAGACCTATAACCTATAACAAGGTATCAATTCTACCACAAAAATGGAAAGTATATCGACTCTATCATAGAAATGGAAAGCAGAAAGCTTAGAGAAGTTAGAGGTAACACCATGTGGCAGTCTATTTCATGGGTGATCATCTCCCGGTTCCCATATTCTTTTAGACAAGTTCTAGCTATGTAGCCCAGGCTGGACTTGAACTCAGAATCCTCCGTGCCTGTGGCTCCTGAGTACTGGGATTACAGGTGTGTACCCTGGACTCTCCGTTGTATTAAGACCTGATTTACACCACAGGACATGGTAGAAGTGAAGTGCAAATCTCTGACTTGAGCCTGTGAAAGACCTGGTGACATTCACTTTTGCACCCTTGGCTTCCTATGTTACAGCGTAAGTTACCTAGCTAGCTATTGGGCTAGAAGGACATGGAGGAGACCATGAAAAGAGCTTTCAAACTATGTGGAGGGCCAGGAGCCCAGCCCTCTCTATATTCTTACTTAGGCCCAGTCCCTAGCCAAACTCTGGACTAAATGCAGCCTCTTCAGTGACAACTGAAAAGTCTAAGAAAACTATAGCAAAAGTCTAAGAAAACTAGCAAAGTCGAGCAGACTCCAGAATGGTGAAAAATAGAAAAATGGCTGTTGTTTTATATCACTATGCAGGTTGCTTTTGCTCAGGTCTGTTATGCAAAAAGGAATACAAAAACAGGCTAGGATCTGAATCTAATTAGACTGCTCCATCTGTTTTTAGAAAGTTATAGGAATACAGGCTTTCCCATTCATTTATGTGAATGGCTACTCCTGTGCTACAATAGCAGAATAGATCTGAAAGGCACCATATAAACCACAGAGCCCAGAATATTTGCCATCTGCCTATTTACAGAAAGTTTTCTGATGGTTGCTACAGAGCTTAGCTCTGGATCCAGTTCTCCTAAAGTGCTGCTAGTACTAGTTTCGTCATTGGCATGGAAATATACCTGGAGCTAGAATTTTGAGAGCACCCTTTTCGAGTGTTACCTGGAACTCGTGCTGTAGAAAACCCATTTTCTCCTTCCTTATTCAAGGATGGTGATACTCAAAACTGCTCCCTTCACTTGACTCCCTTAACCTTTCTTTTAGTTATGTAAGGCTTTCCTTCATGAGAGCCCCTCCCTTTGGCGTAGAGTCTGAAAATAAACACAGAACTAGACTTGGGCTACATGTGTGGAGTATTTCCTACATCTACGGTAGGAAATATTTGCTTTACGGGTCCTGGACAGTCATGTTGATATGAAATGCCCATTCAATATTCAATTCTATAAATTCTTAGGCTTTTAATGACAGAGCCTTGCAGATCTGACAAAACTTCCTTATCTTAATTCTGTAAGGCTGCAAGAATTCTATGGAAAACCATTCTAAAGTTCTATTTTAATTTCACCTACAAACTATATGTTCAGGTTTTTAACTGTCAGTTCTCTCTTGGGAGGCAGACCAGGTCAGACTGGGCAACGGGGGGGGGGGGGAGGTGTTCCATAAATCAGAAAAGGGAAAAACAAATGAAAAAAGTATGATCAAGTTTGCAAGCAAAAGAAAAACAGGGAAAACATCAAGTTAGTTTAAAAAAAAAAAGGTGTCAATTAACACTTTTCAATGGTTAATGGTTAATATTGCTTTACTGAGGTTTGTCCTCTAAACCTGAACCTCTAGTCCTATTCAGTTTTAAAAGATGAATTAGAAGGAAAACAGGAAATAATGAACCGAATGAAACTTTCTGAAATTTTGTCACTGACCTCCAACGTTTCGAGGTGAGTCTGCCTACTGTCAGGTTATCACAACCTAAAAATCTTAATTGCGTAAAAGCGCAACATATTGCGTAATCACCGAATCTTAGCTTTTATAGCTGAAGGGAGGCGTACAAATCGGGGGAATCCTCTCTGCCACTTTATAAGTTGAGCGGTTGTCTAATGTCCCCACCGAAGCGACGTGAATGATAAAATCAAGACCTCAAAATTCTCGATTATGGCCAGAGAGCTTCCAACTCTCATTAGTAGAGGCTGTGGAGGAGCCTTAGGCGGAATCAGAGGAAGGTTTGGGGGTCCAAAGGATGGTACTTCCACCCTGAGCAGAGGAAGTCCGCAAAAATCCCTCCTTGAGATGTAGCTGGGGTACACTAGAGGCAAAGAGGGGGTCAGACCCAGTCCATCGGCTACACCTCCGGGATCAGGCAAGGTCTGGCCAGATCCAAAGGGAGGAGGAGAAACATCTCGGAGGTTCCAGTCCCTTGCTCTAACCTAGGAACCGGCTCCAGCCGTTAGGCACCCTCAGCCCCATTCAACCCCTGAGACCTTCCGACCCGACTTGCAGGCCTCAAGCCAGGTGGACTTCACCCCTTCCATAGCCTGCCACGCACTTATGGGAACCGCACAACCCAGTCGAAAAGAAGCCGAGAGTGATGGAAAGGACAGCCCAGACGCACACTTACCCGGGAGTCCCATGGCTGCCTCCGTCCGGACCTCCCGCGGCTGTAGCCTGGATCCCGCCCCGGTGCTCCAAAGCACCAATCCGAGGAGTCTGCGACCGAGCGCCGCGCCCCCGAAACAGCCAATCACGCAGAGGCTCTGAGATCACGTGAACTAGTTACGCACGTTCGTCCCCCTTCTTCTGCGCGGGATTGTAGCGTCAGAGAGCGCGCGCCGGCGCACGACTACTGAAGGCTGCGGAAGTCCCCGGCGGACGCACCCTGGTTGCCTAGTTACAGCGTCCCGTTTCTGGACGCTGGTTCCCTGCTTCCTTCTGATTGAAGGGACATGGGTGACGAAGGCTTGAAGAAGTCGGGGTCAGGGTGGCATTCTGTGATCAATGCCACAGCAGAATCAACCACGCTGGTTCTTGCTTACTACTCTGGTAGATATATATATATCAAAGTAAATCAAAACGAAATTGTCAACTTTGAATTTCAGAACAATATTTTTATATATGCCCCAAATATTGAGGATGTTCCTTTAAAAAGTTCAGATTTTGTATTTTATCTTACAACACTGCAATTGAGATGGGAAACATCTCAGGTGTGACTTGGAATTCTCGCACAAGCTGTTTCAAGCCTCAGCTAAAAGTGCCTTGAGGCCTGGGGCATCAAGCTATGGTGGTATTTGGCCAGGAAGATGAAAGAATCAATGTGATGCCAGCGTGGTGGCATACACCTTTAATCCCAGCACTAGTGTGAGTTCAAGTCCAGCCTGGTCTACAGAGTGAGTTCCAGGCCAGCTGGGGGGCTTCAGGGACAATCTGTCTCAAAAAGACCAAAATAAATAAATTAATTAATTAAATTAAATGAATGAATGAGTGAATGAATGAATGAATAAATAAATAAATGTGATGGTTCTGGCAGTCAACCACTCTTCACGTTGGTACTTGCAATTCCCCAGCACTGCTCTTCCTGCCCTTTGGAGCACAAATCCCATTCTGAGGAACCTCACCACTACCATTACTGCCAGCTCTTGGCCTAAGCCTATTGACCCATGAAGATTTCAGTTGCTCCTCCTCCTCCTCCGCCTCCCCCTCTTCTTTTTCTGTTATGATACCATCTCCGAGCCTCCAGAGAGAATCAATTACTTCCACTTTGGTACTTTGACGGTATTTGGGCATTGCAGGATCACACTCTACCCTCCATCCTAGGCACTGAGCATTTGATGATTCTCATCGTCAAGGATTTGTAATTTCCTATGAGTACACAGTTGTGTTAGCCACGAAAGCACGGTAGGCACCTCCAGGGGCAGACTTCTGTGTCAATGAGCATTCAAAGTATCCTTTCCTTTATTTTCAACCAAAACTTTACACTGCAAGCTGAGCGTGTCTAGAAGCATTCCTTTCCATGACTTGGATTTCCCTGATTTTAAACTGAGCATGCTTAGGAATGAGCCAACCCCTACATGAATACTATAAGCTCTGAATAAAATCCTTGACCTGACCTCTGTTCAAAGAGAGCATGGCTTTGGAAATGACTCTCATGTTCTCCTTCTCTGCTGCAGGTGATAACTATTTCTTCCACTACTGGTGGTCTTGGCTATGTTTATTTTGGCTTTGCACTTACAAAGATGCATACCCATTGCACTCAGTTACAGATTCATTTGTAGTCATTTACATCTTAAGCAACAATATTCATGCAAGGCTATTTTCTAAAAGTCAAAAGAATATTGTACAGAATTAAGACATAAATGTGGAGATTATTTTAATTGTAGTATTTGGACTGAATGAGAGTCTTCTTAGAAGCCACAAATATTAGAACATTTTTATGTGCTGTATATTCTGATTACACCTAAATCATGAAGGCAGTCAGTGCTTGTGGTCCCATTTAATGGCCTAAATTGAATATATGTAAAAATAAATGTGGATATTATCTTCCGTTGCAATTCAGTTCTTTGCAAATTCAAATGTAAGTAAAATCCCTTGAGTAATTTTGGAGTGGGAAGGCATCACACATATATTGAGAGCCTGTTATCTATATTCAAGGCACAATGAAGAGAAAAACCTGGCATGAATACTACTCCAAAGCTAAGATGCGATTAAAACATATGAAACTATCTTTGATAAAATGAAGTGCTAAGTGCCATAAGGCAAATGCATGAAAAAAAATGGTGAGAGTTCCAAGGGAAAGAGTGTTTCTGTCTGGCAGCATTTAGCTAGGAAACTATGTAGAGGGTGTCCATACAACTTGACAGCAAGGTCATTTCAAGAACAAAGTGAATAAAGATATGGGAGCATGAGATGATTGTTCAGTGGATAAATTTGTGAAATTATGCAAGGAAGAGATAAGGAAGGGGTGTGGACAAAATATGGCACTTTTAGTGAAAATTATAGAAAACTGGTAGAGGTTCTTCCTGAAGAAAACCTTGTGCTTGATAGGCTGATTTCCAGCAATATGACATTTTAAATTATTATTTTGTGGCTCCCTTGTTTTGCCTGAAATAGAAAGGTAAGTATAATATAAATTAAACAATGTTTTTGCTGTAGGTTAAAGAGGAAAAAAAACAGATACAGAATCCAAATTGCAAAATTACAATCCAAGACCAAAAGTAGCGTCAGTGAAACATGAACCAGGTTTATGCTCTTGTAGAATAACAGAGACTGACAGCGACCACGTGTGGCTATAGACAAGAACTAACCTTCTGAAGGACTTTTACATTTATGGTCTTCAATAAACAACTTACCAATTGATAACTTCTGTTTAACACTGTGGTGATTTGAATGGGAAGTGTTCCCTATAGGCTCAAGTGTTTGAACACTTGGACAATTGGTGGCACTGTTTGGGGAGAGTCATGGAACCTTTAGAAGATATGTATGGCCTAGCTGGAGGAAGCACATCACTGGGGACTTTGAGAGTTCATAGCCTTGCCCCACCTTGAATTTTAACTTCTCTGCTTCCCCAGCGTGGTTGAAGATGTGTGCTCTCAACTCTCTGCTCCACCTGTTTCTGCTAACATGCCCCACACAATAATGGACTTGTATCCATCTGGAACCTTAAGTCCAAATAAACCCTTCCTTGGCTAAGTTTCCTTGATCATGGTGTTTTATCACAGCAATGGAAAAGTAGCTAATACAATGTCCCTCCCACACTGAGTCTGGGGTGTGACTATGTAGTGTGCTTGGCCAATGGTACCTTAGTAAATGAAATGCAGCAAAGGCTTCATAAGTGTTTGTAGACTGGGTCATGTCCTGTTGGATCCTTTCCTATTGAAAGGGAATAGCCATGGCTGTGAAGAAGCTCAGGCAAGATTTTAAACATGAACAGCCAAATGGAGAGAGGCCCAGAAGAATGAGACTTCAAGTTGGTCATTTCAGCTGGAGATTAAGTTATACCATGATGTAACCACTGGAATGACTTCACTTTATACTTTATAATATGTGGAACAATATAACTGCCTGGCTAATCCTGATCAGCCCATAGAATCAAGAGAAATAACAATCATGAGAAAGTTACTGTTAGCTCAAGAAACAAAGTTTTAGAGCAATTTGTTACAGAGCAACAGATAATTTACCTGGATCTAATTGCTTAACCATCCCTCCACTTGTGAATGAATATTGAAAGAATCTTTTTGCAACAGTTGTTGCCTGTCTGGGAAACGTAACCTTACCTGGGGAACTGAACAAAACGAAGTTCTTCAGTATACCACTAACACTGCTAGTGTGGTCAATATCTCACAGACGTACCCATACAGGGCAGGGGAAAGCGTGTGCTATCAGGGAAATTCCATGACATTAGAATAGATGTAGCTAAGAAAGACAACACAAAAATGTTACAAAGAAAGTTGGATTCACTCCACATGCAATTTACAATAATATATAAATATGGAAAAACATTAAGATATTAATTTGAATTAAAAAGTCTGCCAAAATGAAACAAATATAAATAATTTTTAGAATTTTTGAAAAATAGGTTACTTATATTTTTTAAACTTGGGGCTGGAGATGGGTGTGGTTTAGTAGTAGAGTGTCTGCGTAGTGTTCCCAAAGCTCTGGGTTCGATCACGACGAAGAAAATATAAAAGCACACTTCATTATTCTGGTAAAGTTTAAGCTATATACACTTAGAAGAAATATAAGCCAAGCCGGGCATGATAGCCCACGCCTTTAATTCCAGCACTCTGGAGGCAGAGGCAGGCGGATCTCTGTGAGTTCAAGGCCAACCTGGTCTACAAGGTGAGTTCCAGGACAGCTGGAGCTACAGACTCTCTCATATATATATATATTTGGCCAAAAAAACCCTTCCTTCCTTCCCTCCTTCCTTTAGTTGCAATAGTCTGGTATTTTATCACAGCAATGAAAAAAAATAACTAACAGAAAATTCATGCCAAGAAGTGGGGCTGCTGCTAAGACAAACGTGACCATGCTGTTCTTAGAGTTTTGGAACAGATTTTCCAGGAGGAATTTGGAATAGGTTGAAACTTCGTGCTAGAAAAGCACTAGAATGCTGTAAGCAGATTCATGTCCCATTCTGGTGAGTTTGGAAGACCAGAATCCTGAATAAAACACAGGCAGTGGAGAACTGGTTCAAGAACTTTCAAAAGGGAACAAGGACTCAATCAAGAATTGGCCTCAAGATATTCCAAGGCAAGATCAAAAGAGAGGGAAAATTATCAGAAGATGAGAAGGAAAAGAGGTGGAGTCTGGTTGAAGCCTCTCACAGGCTGAGAATTAAGAATTCCATCTCAGAGGCTGGAGAGATGGCTCAGCAGTTAAAAACAAATTCTTCCAGAGAACCCGGGTTAGATTCCCAGCACCCTCATGGCAGCTAACAATTGTCCATAACTCCTGTGGCAGGGGATCTGACACCCTCCTCCTCTAGCCTCTGCAGGCACTGCACAACATGAGTTCACTTACATACATGCAGGCAAAACACTCATACACATAAAAACAAAATAAAAAGCATTTAAAAACACAATTCCAGCTCAATTGAAAACATTTTATGTGAAGGCTACTGCTGGCACAGAGATAATATTCCATATATATGTATTTAAATTGCAATGAAATAGCCTTAAAGCTGAACATATATGACCTTA